CAAACGGATCTGAAATAAATAAAAAATTAATTAAAAAAAAAAAGAAGAAGACCTCAGCCCTACAGCCCCTTCCCCCTGGGCGGGGACCCCCAGCAGCCCTGCCCGTCTCACCCAGCACAGACAAGTAGGCTCCTCGGACGACGGAGGGGACGCTACTGCTGCGCAGGACAGCCTCGCACTCATAGTAGCCGGCGTCGCTGCCCGTGGGGCTGGGGACGGTCAGCCGCCGGTTGTAGTCGCTGAGGCCGCCCAACAGCGGCACCCCATCTTTCTTCCAAATGATGTGCAGCTTGATCAGGGGCCTGGAGGGCGAGAGCGAAGCGGGCTCTCAGCCACAGGGGCCCAGGACAGGGGTGGCTGGGAGTGCAGGCCAGGGCCTCAGCCCCCGCCCCTTCGAGGTGCAGCACTCCAGACCTCGGTTTCCTCGTCTACAAAATGGGACAGCTGTGCCCCCGGGGGCTTGTGCTGCGGCCGGATGCTCTAATGCAGGGGAGGCACCTGGAGGCCAGGCCGGCACTAACTTGGTGCACAGGGCCCCCGAGGACAGGAGCCGCCGGAGCCGTGCGTCTTGCTCTTCTGCCACCTGGCGCGGCGCCCCGTCCGAACGGGAGCCAGTGGGCAGCACAGCGTTTCAGGCGCGGCGACATGACGAGGAGGAGCGCGAGACGAGCACCCAAGGTCTGAAGAGGGAAAGGCAGGCAGATGGACATACCTGCCCCCCAACTTAGAGGGTGAGTCGCCACCCCCATCACCGACCCCGGCCCCTCAAGACCCCGAGACTGGGTTTGGCCTGCTCTCCTGTTCATCTTAGTTTTATATTTTTAAAAGATTTATTTATTTGAGAGAGAGAGAGCACTCATGCGTGAGCACGAGCAAGGGGTGGGGGGCGGGAAGAGGGAGAGGGAGAATCTCCAGCAGACTCTGCACTGTGTGGAGCCCAATGCAGGCGTCGATCTCACGACCCTGAGATCACAACCTGAGCCGAAACCGAGAGCTGGAGGCTTAACTGGACGCTTATCCGACTGAGCCACCCAGGCGCCCCATGGCCTGCTCTCCTGTTTAGCGCTGGGCGCATCCTCAAGCGGTCTGTGCTAGCTGCACAAGGTGTGCAGAGGGGTCCCGTGGTCGAGTGTGTGTGGGCCACACTGGCTCAAGGGCCATTAGGCAGGTTCTGGGCTGCAGGTCTTCTCTGTGCCCTTAGCGAGCTCCACACCAAGGCCTTTCCCACCCTCACGGGGAACCTGTGTCTCCAGGAGCGCATGCATAGGAATGCTGCTACAGGGCTGCTCTCTGGGACTCTTCAGCAAGAGGTGACCTCAGGGCCCTTGGTCTGACTCCCCACCCATCACACGCAAGCACCTTTCTTGAGTACTTACAAGGTGGTTCAGCACTCCACCTACATGCCTTACCGGGGAGGTGCGTGCTCGAATCATTCCCATTTTACAGCCGAGGAGACTGAGGCCCAGAGCATGGCAATGGGCCTGGGTCTCGGGGGGGTGACCTATTCTATTGCTACCCTGCTGTTGGCCCACTGGGTGACCTTGGGCAGGTGGCTTGCCCTCTCTGGGCTTCGGGGTAGTTGTGGGAGGAACAGAAATCATGCGGGAAGTACAGTACAGCGCCCACATGTGATGAGGCTCGGTAATTACTGAACTGTTTCCTGCGTAAGGGAAGTGAGGGTCGTGCGTGGCCAGGAAGGGGCTGCAGATGGGTCTGACCCCAGGTCTTCCCTCCTGCCAAGGCCCCCACACGAGCCCTCTCCCAGCCCTGCGTCCCTGTCATGACTGCCTGCACACAAGGACCAAAACTGCCCCTTCCAGATCGCCCTCAGGGCCATAACTGAGGCGTCGATACCCCGAGCTGAGATCTGCTGCCCCGTAACTTCCCCTGCCCCCCCAGGTCCGGTCTCTCCCCTCAGGCCACGGAGAACGAGCCAGCCCGTCCATGGGTCACCCCTCCTCCAGGGTAAACGCCCCATCTCCTTTCCTGGGTCCTCACGTGACATTTGCAGACCTCCCTGAACTCGGGCTTGTCCCCTTGGAGCCCACAGGTCAGGAGCGCTGGCTGGAGTTAAAGGTGCAGGGGAGCGGGGGCGGGGGACGTGCTACCCACCTGGCATTGGCCACACACTCCATGGTCACCTCCGAGGTCCCGGCCACCACGCTGGTGTTCTTGGGAGGAATGATGATGGTTGGGGCGATGGGGTCTGCAGGCCCCCCGACATCTGGGGAGAGGTCAGGGGATAGCTGGAGACAGAGGGCGGAAATCCTATCTCCACTCAGGAGACCTTGGTCCTCACGGAGTGGGGCAGGTGACCACGGGGTCCCTCTCACCTCTCCTCCTCCCTCTGGTCATGGGCATCTGCAGTGTCCAGCGAGCGCCCACTGGAGACCTCCAGAGCCCTCCCCACCTTCCTGTCACATAACATACCCTCCCCCTTAGTCCCTTGTCCTGTCTGTGCCTTCAAAATCCTTCCCTCCATCCACATTTATCTTATTAGCTTACTTCTTCACTGGCCCCCTCTTCCACCTGAATGCAAACTCCCTGTACTGGGTTGAATAGTAATCCCCCCAAATTCATGTCCACGGCAGCTGTGGATGTGACTTTCTTTGGAAATAGGGTCTTTGCAGGTGTGATCAAGTCAAGATGAGGTCCTTCTGTATCTGGGTGGGCCCTAAGGCCGATACGACATGTCCTTACAAGAGGAGTGAAATGGAGACACAGACACATGGACATACAGGGGAGGCCAGGTGAGCATGGAGGCAGAGACCTGGAGTGATGCATCTCCAAGGCAAGGAGGAATGCAAAGGATTGCCATCCACCACTAGAAGCTGAGAGGCAAGAAAGGATCATCCCCTAGAGCCTTCCGGGAGCACACAGGCCTCCCGACACCTCGATTTCAGACGTCTGGCCTCTAAAACTGTTAGAGAGTACATTTCTGTCGTCACAAGCCCCCCAGTTTGTAGAATTTTGTTACAGCAGCCCAAGGAAGATAATACATTCCCCGGGACAGGAACCTCACGAATCCTTGCCTTGGGCTGAATTAGGTCTCCTCCAAATTCATATGTTGAAGCCCTAACCTCCACGTGACTATTTGGAGTTGGGGTCTTTTGTCGGTCATCGGCTTAAGTGAGGTCATAAGGGTGGGGCCTTAATCCAACAGGGCCAGTGCTCTGATCAGAAGAGAAAGACACACCACAACTCTGCCTCTGCCTACGCGAGGACACAGAAAGAAGGCAGCTGTCTGCGAGGCAGGAAGAGAGGCCTCAGCATAACCCAACCATGCTGGTCCCTTGACCTTGGACTCCCCGAACTGAGAGAGTCACCACTGTGCTGAAGCCCCTGGTCAGGTAGCCTGTTACGGCAGCCCGCGCTGAGACAGCCTTGCTCACGCCTCCTTCTCCAGCACCAGGGAGACTTCTGGCACATAGCAGGGGCTCACGTATATTTGTTCGGTGAAGGCATGAATGGCCCAGGGCTAGCCCTGCACCAGTTCAGGATCGGTGACTGAAATGCAAGAGAACATATCACGAGTGGGCTTTGTCAACACAATCCCCCGAACTCCTCTAACAGAGGCAGTAGCTTCGCCTTTTGTATTTTTTTGAGTTCTTTAAGAAGTGGCCAGGCTCTTGGTGGGTCAGCACAGGCCCGATATTGGCAGAAACTCCAATATTCTCCATGCACCTGCTCCAGGGCTCCTGGAAGTAGAGCCACAGAGGGCTTTTTCTCTCATGAAAAATCCATCCAGTTGGCTCCTTCCCAGGAGGTTCTGGAGGCAGCCGACTATAATGACCTGCACGGACCTGGGGCGGGGGTGGGGGGCGGTGGGGAGCAGTGACAGGACATCCTTTATGGGGAGAGCATGTCACGGCCCCACTGCCGCTCTGGGCCACCCCGTTCAGCCCTGGGCAGGTTTTCTTGCCTGGACTTCAGGCTTTGCTAGAAAAGTGAAAAAAATTTAAAAAATAAAGTAAAATGAAGAAGGAAGGAAGGAAGCATATAAAGCAAAATAATTGCAACAATATAAAAGCCTCATGTAGGTGCCATAAAGAGCGATCGGATTGAAAGCTGCTGATATAGCTGAATCCATAAAAGTGTGCTCTAAGTTGTTTATTACACGCCAGGGCGCACAGGTACCACGGCCCAGATTAACGGGGCAGGAGGAGGAGACAGACAGTTAGAGCCCAAGCGACATGCCCCACTGTGGAGCCAGGTAAACAGAGCCCTCGGGGCTTAAAAATAGGAGGGCCACCCTAGGGCCTCAGGGCAACTCGTTGGGTGGAGGGGAGACTGACACCCATCCGGGGACCCTGGAGGTCATGCCTTGGTCCTGGCAGCGGCCCTGGGGCTCGAGGGTAGGGACCAGCCGTGGTTGGGCACCCCTGGACCCAGCGATGGAGGGCTGGGGGGTCAGGAAGACCTGGTTCAAAACCTTGCTCCGCCCCAGCCATCCTGCAGTGGTGCAGTGGGAAGGTGGTGGGGGGATTGGGGGGTGTCTCAGCTGGGTCTTGATTTTTTCCGGGGCAATACGGGGATAAAAATGACCGCATCGCAGGGTTCTGTGAGTTCAGCCCCTTGCTCAACAGATCTTTTCTGGGTGAGGGCTCAGTCCCTTCCAGACTGTGCCTGGTACCAGGGATTCCCCACTGAGTGAGGCGGATAGGGGTCTGTCCTCATGGAGCGCACGGTCTGGATCTCAGATCAGTGCTTAGACATTTATCGGATTAGAGCTGATGGGATGGATGCTGGGAAGAAGGGCCTCGGTGGGGGTGGCCAAGCTTGTCTGGGGTGAGCGCAGAGTACCCGGTGCTGAGTAAGTACTCAGTAAATCATAGTCTGTCCTCCTTGGGGTGTACCTACCTATGCTCGGGGACAGCTTCCTTGTCTCCCACCCTCCACCCGCCCAAACCACGTGATGGACCCAGAGACCACCAGCAGGTGAGAGTCCACAGACCCTCCAGGGCCTTCCGACAGGGTAAGAGTTCCCACCCATCCGGCCCCTTCCCTGCACTCTGCTGAACTTTACTCCCTCATCACAACGGCCACCAGCCACCGGACGCTGGTCATGACTGTCATCCACAATTTACAGATGAGAAAGCCAGAGACATTAAGTAGTTTACTTCCCAGTGACAGTCGCTAATGAGGGACAAAACCAGGAATGGGACCAGGTCTCCGGGGCTGCAAACCTGCGCCATTAACCACTCCCCAGATCATCTCTCTGGCTCAGTCCTTGCTCGGGCGCAGAGGGAAACAAATCTCCCTTTTGGCTGAGGTCCGCTCTGCTAGAAGTTGTCTGAACTACCTCTGAGCACCCCCTCAGCCCTGGTCCCTTTCCCCCTGGCCCCCATGCACGCCTTCTCCTTTCCCTGCCACCCGTGACCTCCTGGTTGCAAGTCCCCTTTTCTCCACTCTGATTCTCTTTGATTGCTCTGGACATTTAGCTCTGTGGACCCCTTTCTCCAACGCCCCTTTCCCTGAGCTTCCAGGACCCACCAACTACACTGTGCCTCACACAGTTCTCCCCGTCTCTGGTCTCCGGAAGTGAAGAAGCCAATGGTCCTTGTCCCTCCCACCCTCACCCCCAGTTCCCTGGCTCCCCCTGATCTCACCAGCCTCCTATTCTGGTGTGGTGTGAAGGCAGAGAAGGGCAGCTTGGGGATGGAATGTAGGACATCTGCTTCACCGGACTCATGCTCTGGGCAGTGGGGTGAATGGGGCCCAAAGGTCAAGCCAGAAAATCACATGCAAAGCAGAGCAAGGAGGAGAGTTATCTTCCATGTGAGTGCCTGCCGTGGACAGGACCCAGGGCTGAGAAAGCACAGAGGCTCTCCACACAGAGACAAAGTTGGATCCTGCTGCCCCGGGATGACTCTGGTAACAGGCACCAGGAGGGGACACCACTGCGATGCATTCTCCTGGGGTCATCTCATCGAATCCTCCCAACTACACTTTTGCCAGAGGTACCAGGAAACAGACTCAAGGACCACGTAACTCATCTGGGCCACAGGTCAAGCGTGTGGGGGGGTGGAGCAGGGAGGTAAGCTGCTCCCCTCTCCTGGGCAGGCATCCAACATGGGGGCCATGAACCACAGGTGGCTAGGAGCTCTTAAAATGTGACTGGCGCCCCTTTGATTTAATGGGATTTAATTTGATCTGATTTACATTTAATTAAAAACAGATCCCCAAATCAGTTATTAGAACACTTTTAAGTATGTGTAGAACAACTCGGGTATCCAACATCACCTTTCCAGCTGTAAATTTGATGAAGTCTAAATGCAGATCACGTATTTCAGATGAAAACTGAGCAACCAAAAGATGTGCTCCAAGTATAAAATACACAGAGATTTCGAAGACTTAGTAGGAAAGAGAAGCCCAGCATAAAGTACCTCATTAATATTTTCCGTCGATTATATGTGAAAATGGTAATGTTTTGGATATGTTGGGGCAAATAAAATACGTTAATAAAATTAATTTCCTGTTGCTTTTTCCTTTTTTAAAAATGAGGCTACTGGCAAATTGTAAATTACCCCATTCCTGAGTGTGGGGCCACGGTCCAGGCTTGACAGTCTGTGTGAGGTCATCAGGGTGACCCCTGGGCAGGGGTCAGCTCCCAACTCCAGGGTGGGCACTGGCTTTGTTCTTAACTTCTGCATTTCTGAAGAGCATGGGCATCCCTCCACCCCACCTCCCCGCCCCAGGGCCTCTAAGAAATAGAACTGCCCCGGAGGGCAGAGGAGGGGGGAACAGAGGGAGGGGCCAGCCTCCCCGAGATCAGGGAGGGGGGCTGGAACTGGTGGTCGGTAAAGGGGCAAGTGCTCCTGGTAAACTGGCTGGCAGGCAGGCGGGCTGGGGGATTTTGTGTCAGTGACATGAACAGGGTTTTGAAGTGCAATCACTCGTGGGAGGAGAAATTAGCTGAGAATCAGCTGATTCTGCTCTTAATCCAGCACAAATCGCCGCATGAGAACAGAAGACAAGGGGCGATGGGATGGGAGAAAGAGACAACCGGAGGAGGCTTGGGTAGACACAGGGGTCCGGAAGGGTCCTACCCGCCTCCCTCGGGCCAGATGGGAGGGTTGGGGTGGGGAGCTGAGATGGAGCACAGAGTGAATGACATCCACAGTCCGCCCGCAGGGTTGCTGACTTAAGGCCCGTGAGGAGGAGGTCGGGTGTTGGGGAGGAGCACAGAGTGGGGGGCTCCAACCTCTGGTCCCAGGGTAAATTGAGTCACCTTGACTCAGACCGTGAACTTTGCCTCTTCCCCAGTGACTGAATTCTATTAGACTCCAGGTATCTGATCACTGGAGAATATAGGGGGGCCCAGGTCAATGTCAGAGGTCACCCTTGTGACCCTGATAGGTCAGTATCCTGAATGGAACCCTCCTCTGGGCATTCAGGTGTCTTTCTAGGCCAACTGGAACTTGGGGCTGGGGAAGGGGATTAATTCCGGGGATATGGGAAGGGATTCTGCTGGTGCTCAGAAGGCCTAGGAATGGACACGGTAGGGCTGAGGAATGTTCTGGGCTTTCCAGACACCGGCAGACAGAGGCAGGGATCAGGGGAAGGACAAGGGAAGGCCCCATGCAGACCCACACCCAGGTCTTGCCCCAGGCGTCTGTGTCCCCACGCGACCATGGATGATAAATGAGACTTGCTTTTGGGGCAGGAGTGGTACAGATGTGGAGGGACGTGAACATCTGGCCCCCCAGCTTGTGTGGTTGTTCGGCTGCTACGGCAAGCTCGGGTAACCACGTACTCGGCGAGGCTTCTGGGCCTGGGCCGGCTGCTGGAGCAACCCCACCCGCCATCTCTCACCCAGGGACGGAGCGCAGAGGGAGGGGGCCAGGCTGGCTGGCAAGAATCAGGCCAGGGAGGGCGTCCCAGCATTTCCATCAGGGATCAGAAACCTGCCTTCAGTCTCGGCTAGACGAATAAATACCTCTTTGCCAAAGGAGACCCAAGGAGCCACCCCTTTCCATTTGCTAACATCTGTTCTCTGCCACTGGGGAGAGCTTGGCCCATCTCTTCCAGGGTGCTGGGTGGTTTCTGGGATGGGCAGAGAGGCAATTTTAGGCAGGAGCCTGGGCGGAGAGCCTGTGTTCCCACGAGTGGAGACAGCCTTGCTCTGAGTAGTGCTTTGATGGACCAGCTGAGTAGAAGCTGTGAGTGCAGTTCTCTTGAAACAAGCTCCCCATCTCCTGCATGCTCTCCCTGTCGGCACCTGAGCCCCAGAGGTGGCCGTAACCCACACATGCATACTCTCTTCCGCATCCCACGCCGTCTCTGGGCCTCCAGCAGCCCTGCTCACAGCCAGCTCAGCGTCCCCTCCCCTGATGCAGGAACTCAGCTTTGTCATGGGAACGGGGTCCAGCACTCAGCTCCCTCCTTGCTTCTACCCTCACACTCCCAATGCTGGGGCTCCTCTCCTATTCCTCGGAGGCCCCTCTGCTGCCCTACTCTAGCCTCCCACCTCTGCCACCACTCCGTCTTCCCAACGACCCCCTGGAGCCCCGTTCCCAAGATTTAATGACGCGCTCCTCCATCCGTCCCAGGCCCAGCTGCTTACTTACTCTCCACGGCAAGAGTGATGGGCTGGCTGGTCTTGTTATCCCCGTTCTTGTCATTAACAGCCTGCACATAGTAGCGGCCTGCGTCGGGAGCCACTGTTGACAGGATGACGAGGGTGTTCTCCAGGGTGATGGCTCTGCGAAGAGGAAAAGGATCTGTCTGACAGGGGCCCAGGGGCTCTGACCATCGGAGGATGGGCGCGGGGACAAGAAGCTGGTGGCCCCCGGAGCCCCTCCTCCAGCCCAGCTTCCAGGACCACTGACTGCCTCAACTTCAGCATGCTCTGTTTGCCGAGAATCCCAACATGCTGCCAGGGCTGGGGTCAGACCCAAACCCAGCATGTGCACACAGGTCCGAGACCGTCCCCGTTGAAGCTTCCCAGCCCCCACCCCACACCTGGCCCCGGGCGTCCGAGCCCCCACGGCCTTCCGTCCTCTCCCACATCACACCTTCAATGCTGAGTGTGACCCTCTCTACACCAGGAGGGTCCAGCGCCAAAGAAATCCATTCAGTGGAATGAATGAACGAGGAACGGATGATGAGCAATGATCATGAATTTAGAAATGAAGAGGATCATTCCAGAATCAATGCCTTAACCTAATTCTACGTTTGTTGGGATTGATTCCAAAGCCATAGGTGGTGGCCTGTAACACCGATGACAGGGGTTCCTCTGTCCCCCAGCCCCCTCTCAGGGTGTCAGGTGCTCCCTTCCCGAAGCTGGTCAACAAGGATGGAGACTGGCTGTGGGCTGAGGGAGCAGGAGGAAGGAGGCCAGCTGGGCGGTGGGGTGCAGGTCCCCTCTGCTGGGGTCCCACCATGCAGCCCCGCAGCACCTGGTCTGCAGGCAGGGAAAGGGGCCGGTCCAGGCGGGAAGCTGAGGACCCCATCTGATGCGGGGGAGACAGCCCCAGGAGCGCTGCCCACGCCCGCTCTGCCCAGCTCCCCCTCTCACCCATTCTCTCGATGACAAACAAAACCATTAGTTTGTCAAGTCTATCTCGGATTTTAATGTGATGTGCCCGAGACAGCTGTTAAACATCCTTAATGTTAGTTTAACAAGGACAGACCCAGTTGAATTCTTTTCAAATTTTCCCATTAGGTGAATGTTACAGAGTTTTAAACAGGCTCTCAAATAAACATCCCCGCTGATGCCTCTCTAGCTGGGCTGTGCTGGTGTCCCCTCTTTCCTGGTTTTGGGGGGGTTCATGGGCTGAGTCTCACACCGTCAGTGGAGCTCTGGGAAGTAGGAAGGGAAAGCCCTCTCCCCCCAATTCTTGGGTATCCTAATGATATTTTTTGTTTTTTTCTGGAGGAAAACCCCTCTCCAGCTAATGAGCTGATGGAAAGTAAGATAAAGCCAGGCTAAAATATTTTAAAAGTGACAAGCTGGGACAGGAACAGGGACCGTTTCCCTACAAGGAAGTCTCCTGCAGAGGTCCTTGTCCTTTAGTGCAGCTTGTGGGGCAGGCCAGGGTCGGGGAGGAAGGCTGGGCCATGTCAAGGGCCGGGCGCAGCTCTGGAATGAGCTCCGGCCACAGCCTCTAAGGAGCACACATCCTCCTCCATGCTGAACCTCAGTCTCCACATCTGTGAAGGGGGTAGAAGAAATGCTTGTGAAGATCCCTCCCAGCCCTGAGGTTGAGGGATTCTGATTCCTGCCGCTGCTTCGGTCCTATCTGCATCTGGCCTGAGGCTGTCACCCTCCCTCTCCTGCAGCCCTCACCTGGCCCACAGTCCAAGGTCAGGACTAATGTGATGGGCAGCAGTGCACCTGGACCACTTGACGGGAGCTCCCCACCCTCTCCAACACGGCGGCCCTGGACAAGCCGGCTGAATGAAGTCTCTGGAGGGTGGGCACACTGGGCATGGCTGGGCCCCACTCCCCAGGGCACCTGCCTGCCCTGAACCCCCTCTTGCCTCCAGGGAGGGTTCCCATCTCCAGTGCTTTCTCTCCTTAACCAGGAAGAGACTACCTCATCCCCCAACCCCTCCTTTTGCTCTATTTTATCCACATTACGACGGATCCTTCTAGGTCAGTGGTTCTCAACCGGGGGGTGCGGGGGAGGGGGGCTTCATCCTCCAGGGGACATTTGATAATGTCTGGACAAGTGTTAGTATCACAGCTGTGGGGCTGTGATAGGAACTAGTGGGCAGAGGTCGGGGATGTTGCTAAGTGTCCTACAAAGCACCGGACAGCCCGCACAATGATTTATCGGGCCCCAAGCGTGGACTGTGCCGTGGTGGAGATGCCCTGTCCTGGGTGAGATGGCCTAGCGGGTGGCAGTTCATCCACGTAAGCAGCTGGGAAGCCAGGTGGGGCAGCGGGGCTGGGCTGGTGGGATATGGCAGAAGGTATGTGCACCATCTCCAGGCTCAGACCCTAAGGACCCCCCGTGCAACTCCTAGGTTCTCCCCTCTGTCAGAGCTGGGCAACTCTGAAGCCCAGGGTGGAGGACGGCAGAGCTCCTACCAGCCAGGGCCCCCGGATGACTGTGGAGGAGCGTCCTTCCCCTCCCTCGCCTCTGCTGGGACTTTAAATGAGCAAAAAAAAAAAATACACTTCTCCGGTGCTAAGTCCCTGGCGTTTGGGGGTCTTGTCTGTAACGGCAGCTGGTGTTGCCTTAACTTACGCTAGAGGCGAGGAGAACACTCTGGACTGGGGCCCTCAGGACCAGGGATGGAGCTCCGAATGTGGCAGAGGGACTTCGAAGCCCTCATGGCCTTTGACCGGCCCTCCCTCTGCCCTCAGCAGGTGGTCACGGAAGGTCCCTGGACTTCCGGCCTTCTGCAGGATGACCACCCCCTCGATAGATGGCTCTGGAATGACCCTGTACCTCACTTCCCAAGCGCAAAGAGCTGTTTCTGGCACTCAGAAGGGCTTCTGGCCTGCTGCACCCCAGATCCACCCACTCTGAAAGAAGCTGCTGGAATGCTCTCGGGGCACGGAGGTCAGGGTTCAACTCTCGGACAGGGGCGGGGGTACATTTTCCAGCCACACTCTTCGGGCTCCAATTGACTAGATCTTTCCCACTTCCCTCATTGGCCCAGCTCCCACCCCACCTTCCATCCATTCCTATTAAGCCAGCCCTTTTTTCCCCTTGGGTCCACGGGGGCCCAATTGATAATTTAATTAAGAATAAAAGAAATCATCCTAGAACCTGCCCAAAGCCCCCAGCATGTGTCTTTGTTGGGCAGCTTGTCTCCTTTTCAACAGCGAGCCCCAGGGCCACGGCACAGTGTGGCTAATCGGCGTCCCTGCCCCGGCAGTGAGAACAGCCTTGCGGAGATAGCGCGCCCCCGTCGGCGCCCCGCACGCCCCTCCGGCTGATAGCGCTCAGCAGATACGTATCTCTGGCAAACAGACGCCGGAGAATTTGCTTCCAGGGACCTTTCCTCTCAGCCATGAATATTAATCCGCTGTAATTGCGGAGATACAATCTCCACAGCCTTGTCTCATGTGTTTGGCTGGAGTGTTGGAGCGGGTGGGAAGGCGGCGGGTGTGACCACGAAGGCGGGCATGTGTCTGCACGCCAAGATCATTCTGTCCCGGTGCCAGAGGCTGTTGGCAATGGAAAGGGGGTGAGGACAGAGGGCGGGAGTGAGAAAAGGGGGTGGCAAGGGGTGTTAGGCGAGGGGTGATGCAAGTGAGGGTGGAGAGAGGTTCTCATCCCCCACAGCGAACACGGTAGAGACGTGTCCACGAGCCCTCCTGCAGCCGCGGCACCTGCTGTGAACTGTCATGGAGCTGCTCTTGCCTCTGAGTCTGGATGGGGCCTCAGCATCCTTCTCAACACAGTATTCCAGGCAGCCTCTGCCAACCAACTGGCCTGCAGGCTGCCATCATGGATATACCTGGAGCTGCGTGATAACCTCAGAGAAGGGAGTTAGGGAGGGCTCAGGACTCACCTGTCTCAGTACCTGTGTGGGGGAGCACCCCCCCTTCTGCAGTTCAGCCTGTCTGTGTTAATGGTAAACCATGCTCTGCTGGCTTTACTGACCCTTAATGAGGCGCGAGGAAGCCTGAGCCGACTCGTACAGCATGAGCCTGTCCACCTGTTAACCTGGGGGGGCGACTCCAATCCTTCCCTGGCTCTGTAGCCACACCCTTTGCCATGTGACTTCGCAGCTCTTCTCACTCAAGAGACAGAGTTCATCCCCTGCTTCTGGAGGCTGAGTTCTACCACGTGACTCGCTTCGAGCATCGGGATGTTAGCAGAGGCTTGGCAGATCCATGTTTCTGCTTCTTTCCTGCTCCTCTGCAATGGCCAGAAGAAGCCGGGGCTAGCTGGCTGGGGGATGGGACATGCGGAGCAGAGTCCCCCCGCTAAGCTAACCCGTCAATAGCCAGACGACCCCAGGCAAATCAGAGAGCCCAGCCAAGGTCCCGATCTGCACATTCATATGACACATAAATGCTTACTGCTTCTGGTCCCTGGGACTTTTTGTTATGCAGCATTTCTGTATCTGTGGGTAACGGATATAGTCTAGGACAGTGGTTCTCAATTGTGTCTGCATGTCAGAGTCACTGCGGAGCTTTAACCGCCCCCCCCAAGTGCCAGGGTACACCCCATTTCAACAAACTCAGAATGTGCAGGGGGGAGGATCTAAAGATCAATGCATTTTAAATTGTCCAAACGATTTTAACAGGTAGTCAGGTTGCGAATCACTGTACCAGGACCAATTCTCTATGAGAGCAATCACTTTATCCTTCTTCTCTCCTTGTCTGTGTCCCTGTTGGCACATAATTTCCACATAAGACAGAATTAAGGACCCTGACTCTGGAGTCGCCCAGGCTGGAACCAGCTGTGTGAGACTGGGCAACGTGGTTCAACTCTGGGGGTGGGGGGGGCTCTACCGTCCAGAAAGTGGAGACAAAACCAGCCCCCTCATGGGACTATTGTGAGGGTCGTTCCTCCAATGGCCACTATTTGAGTGTGTGCTCTGGGGATTCAAAGGGGAACGAGACAGAGCGTCTCTCACGTGGAGGTGCACACCCATCGCAGAGGAGAGGACGATGTGGGCAGTGTGCTTAGCCCAGGCTCGAGGCCACAGCGGCCATTCAAGGAATGACAGCTGCTGTTCGTGCCGGGACGTTACCATGTTATTCTTGTGAGGCCTCTCTCACCCCAGAGGCAAGAACTGTCCATCTTGGCTCCCGCTTCCCTCAGAGACCAGGATGGGCCCCGCCCACAGCTGACCTGTGGCCTGAGGGGACCAGGACAAAGGTGGTCTTTCTTGTTTTCTGGGGAGTGGGGTTGAGGGGGGAGAGCTGGAGTCCAAAAGGAGAGAGCTGGGGCTGGCTCCAGACCCCGAGGCAGGATCGGGAGGGCCGGGAGCGTCCCTGGAGGAAATGCTCTGCCCCTCGCCCTCTGTGAGGTGTTGGCTCCATGGCTCCTGCCCACAAGCCCGGCTGCCACAACCCACGCCCTGGGCCACACAGAGGGGTCCTTGTTAATGCTGAAAGGGCCATGTGTTTCTCTCCCTGCCGGGCCTCCCTGGCTTCCCCTCCTCCAAAACACACATAGCCACACCCTCACCCCACACGGGAAACAGCCGGGTGGCGACCCTGCCAGGGACATGCCAGCGCCCTCCCACGGATGGGGATGGCTTCTGTCACTGCCTGTTGTGGGTTTCAGTGCTTTGGGAGGCAGCTGAGAGTGGGGCCAACGCCCTGGGGCTCCCCAGGAACGCCACCGAGCTGCTGTGTCCCCAAGTCTTCACACGCGTGTTCCCAGAAAGCCCCCCCTTGTTGGCCACCCTTCTCTTGTCATCCGGGAGGTCCCAGATCCCCTCTCCCACAGGGCGAGCCCCCTGCGTCCCCCTCCAGAGCAGGGCCTCACATGCGGCTGCTGGGCGGGATCTTGCGGCCGTCCCGGAACCAGGTCACCTGTGGCCGTGGGAAGCTGGCGATGCGTGGGGCGCGGATTACAGCTGCTTCTCCATGGGAGACACTCTGGTGCTTCTCGCCTTCCTCAAAGCTGCCCATGTCTGCGGGAGGGAAGAGCGTACGTGTGGGTCAGACTGCCCAGATCCCGTGCTGGGAGTGGTGGCGGCAGGATGGCCATGGGGAAGGAGGCCGCTGGGCTCAGACCACCCACCCGACCCCATCACCCCACCCTCTAACCCCATCATTATGACATGCCCTGCTTTGTGCTTTGGGGGTTTACATCCATACATCCATGAACCAATCGATTCATCCAGCAACCACGAAGAGGTTGGTCATTATTTCACACATTTTACAAAGGGAAAAACTGCCCAAACAGGCTCCGAGAGGTTCCTTGACTTGTCCAAGGGCACGTGGCTAGGAAGGGGATAGAGCCAGGATTTGAACTCAGATCTGAGTCTGGAGTCTGGAGGGCACTCCCTGTAGGGCAGTCGGGGTTTCAGCGTGAGGAGAAGGGCACATCTTGGGGCTGGTTTCCTAGGTTCTTGGTGGAGGCAAGGTTGGGTACACTGGGGAGGGTGGGGTCTTGGATGCTCATAGAGTATGGATATGATTTTCCTCCTCTGCCTTGGGTGGGAAGCGTATGAGGCTGCATGCACGTGTGAATGGAAACACCATATTGCTCTTTTAAAAACATGCCTACCCTGCTGGCAGATAAGGAGGGGAACATTTGTCCCGGCTCTGCTATGCCGGCCCGGAGGGGAAGACAGCAGCAGAGACGCAGGCAGGAAACTTCTGGTGGCCCACCTGCCGGCTGGAATCAGGGTGGGGTTTGATTCTAGTAGCAGAGGGTTACAACGGGGCACGGGAAGGGGTCTGCGCTGAACGTCATGACTTTTGAACATTAATGTACATCCTTGCTACTCAAAGTGTGGTCCATAGGCCAGCAGCATGGGCATCACCTGGGAGCCTGTTAGAAATACAGAGTCTCAAGCCCCACCCCGACCTACTGAATCAGAACCTGCATCTTCACCAGACCCCCAGTGAAGGGTGCCCATATTCAAGTGTGACAAGCATCACTGTCCCCAACTTGGCCACATACCAATTAGAAAAAGTGCTGATGCTAAGTTCAAGAACTCACCTGCAGACTTCTGTTTCCACCGGTATGGGGTGTGTGAGCTGGCCATCAGCATTCCCATGTGCAATCAGGTTCCGACCACCGAAAACTGAGCTGCATGTCCCCACTGCCCACTGTCCCCTCCCTGGCCAAGGCGGCCACGTCCCAAGCCACCTGGTCTCCTGCTGCTTTCACTGTTATTTCTCAACCCCTTGAATATCGCTGCCTCTTCTCTCTTTCCTTCAACCAGGCATCCCCCAGCCTGGCTAAACCTCAGAATCCCCCGAAAGGGTGGGCGGGACTCAGATGTGGGTATTTCTAAAGCTGCTCAGGTAGTTCCAACATGAGCCAAGGTGGAGAATGACCGTCTGGGCTCAAGCTAGCAGCTCATAGTACTTTGGTGGGTCTCAGAATCCCCTGGGAACTCGGTAAGCCCATAGATTTGTTCCCATCCTTTGCTCCTCCCCAGGGCATGGAAAGGCCCTGCTTTGATGCACCTGGATCTGAGTTCTTGATTCGCTCTCTCTAGGACACTGCTGCATGCCAAAGTTTGAAAACCACGGGCCTATCCTCTCTTTTTCCAAAGTCCTGGGTTCTGTTCTCCTCCTGGCCCCACTGCCCCCTGGGAGGCCTCCCTTCATCTAAACATTTTGACCACAGTCTCTCTACAAAGACTCTCATATCTGCTCTGGCTCTTCTCTGAGCTCCAACACCCAAAACTCGATTTCCAACAGAAATGTTGGCATTTATTACCTCCTTCTTGCTTTCTTCTGTCAATAGCTCCCACCTGCACCTGTAGCAAATAGCTCCCGCTTGCACCTGCCCTGGAGCCTTTTGTGGTGCTTTGCTTCCCTTCCCTGTACCCACAAAGTCCTTTGACTCTTCCTCTGGTATAGCTCTCTCATTTACCAAGCCCCCCGACCCTAGTTCCCACTGGCCCACCACCAAGTGAACCCCGTTACTCCAGCCGCTCTGACCACCCCCCAACAGGGTCTCCATAGGCTCCCCCCCACCCATCATCTCACATTCTTCCTAATTAATTTTTTCTGGACATATGGCTGACTTGCTCAGAAACTTTGGGATCTCCTCATTGTCCCAGGAAAGTCTAAATCCCCTTGCTTGATTCAAGATCCCTTCCTAATCTGACCCCAATCAACCTTTCCCATCTTAACGCCCACACCACATCATGTGCCCTCCTGCCACGCTGAATTACATCCTGCTTCCCATCTCAGGCCTGTCCTTGTGTGGGACCCCTTCCTAGAAAGTCTCCAGAACAAGCCATGATTCACCAAGGTGCCATGATTCAACAGCATCTCAGAGGGATCCAGCCAGTTAAGGATCTCAAGAAAGAGAATGTGCTCTTGGCATCCTTGTTCTACATTTGGTAGGCAGTAAATGTAATGGTAATGGCTTTGGAGTCAACTCTGAGACTTGAGTTCAAATCCTACTTCTGTCACTTATTAGGCATGACCTTGGGCAAAATTTTGACCTAGCTGAGCTTTAATTTCCTCTTCTGTAAAATGGAGTTATGAAGAGTATGTTCCTCATAGGTTGTAGTTAGGATTCGGTGAGATACTACATGTGTGTGTGTCAGGATCTATCTTTCCACAGACGGCTGCATCAATATTTATCTCCCATCCAACATGCGCTTCTTATGAATGTGCTGGCAGTGATGGTGTGTAACTTTCAAGGCTAGGTCATCAAAAGGATGCAGCTTCCCCTTGGATCCATCTCTCTGTCCAGACACATCTACTTGGAATCCAGCCACCATGTTGTAAGGAAGCTCAATCTGGCCCACACAGACATGGGAAGGGTGCATGGAAGGAGGAGCTGAGGTCCCCAGAGGACAGCCAGCACCCACACTGGACATGTGAATTGATGTGTGCCTCGACGCCTCACATAATTTCAGTCCCCAGCCTTTAAGTCTTCCAGCGGAGACCTCAGTCATATGGAGTGGGGACGAGCCATCCCTACCGTGCCTTGTCTAGATCCAAGGCTCACATACTTGGTGAGCCTAATGAATGATTGCTATACACCACTATGCTTTGGGGTAATCTGTTATGCAGACACAGAAACTGGAAGAATATATTAAAGTGCTAAAAATTATATCTAATATTTGTAGTATTAAAATATTAGAATCGTATACATTTTTCACAGCTTAGCTGAAACATCGACCTCTTCAGCAAAGATTACCCCATGCCACCAAACAGAATTAAAGAACAGAGATTGCTGCACGCTGACCCTCCATTGGATTTCTTCCTAGGTGGACTTCACATGCATGTAATCCTCATGCTACCACGGCTAGCTCGACTCTAATAAATACACATTTTTACTTATTTATTAATTTCCATTACTTGGCTCTGTCTATAAAACATTATGTCAATAAATCACATTGATTTCAGTTCTCACAATAATTTTATCTATTTAAAAAACTTTTCACAGAACTCTGAAGATATATTTGAACAATTTAAAGCAATTTCATGGTAATAGTGTTTCTTTCTCCCCTCTTGAGTTTTATTAGCTCCATTTCGTCAGTGAGGAAATTAAAGCTCATGGAGATAGAGTGGCTTATCCAATGTTAAGCAGTCAGGGCTGGGCAGGGCCAGCATTCAAATCTGCCCCCCCGCCCCCCGCATTTCCTCTCTGCTTCTTTCATAACTCATCCCCTACATTAACGTGCTTCACACACATTCTTTATCTCTCCCTACCATACTGTAAGCTTCAAGAGGCAGTTGCGTTCATCAGCAAGTCCCTACAAGGCACCTAGCCCTGGACTCTGCACACAGTAGGTTCCTTCTAAATTCACCCAATGCCATCGTGCAATGACTCTTACTAAGCCCCTACTGTGGGATGGATGAATGGAGGGTTGGAGGAAGAGAGGAAGAGATGAATGGATGGAGAAGGAGGGGATGGATGGAGGAAAGGTGGGCAGGAGGATGAAATGACTATACACGGGTGCAGGTATGTATGTATGAACGGTGAGAGGGATGGAAGGAAGAGCACAGCTGGTCTTGGTCCAAGTTTTGCAGCTGATGTTCTCCTCCACGTTTCCATCCCACAATCTCCCTGCCTCACCATGGCTCTCAGGCCCCCCAGAACCCTCCCAGTCTCTCCACTGCACTGAGTCAAGTGGGCTTCTGGGACCTGCTCAAGGAGCCCCCAGCTCTGCTCACGGGCCCCAAGGCACAGGCATGCACACACTGAACAGCAGCAGCAAGGGGCCAAGGGGGCGTCCACTCAGCCGGTCAGTGCAAAAGAGAGGCTAGAAGGAGGGAGGCCACACACTGGCAGAGCCTGGGGAGCCAGGAACCCCTGGGAAAACTCAAGCACACTAAGGCGGAAACAGATAAGGGTTTTCGCTTATTTTGCTCCCCGAGGCACACACTTGTTAACACACCATGTTATGCCTGCAGCGCTGATCTACCTTTCCCAACGAATTCCCCGAAGAGCAAAGAAATGTAAGCCTGGGGCACAGCTGGAAGTGGCCTCCAAATTCCTGATGTCTTTGTTACATCTTAAAAGGTCTTGTGAAGTATACATCCCACTTCAGAATACACTCATTGCTTTTATTTATTTCTAAAACATTTTTTTAAATCATGAAATATGTCATGCATACAAAAGAATGAATATAATTATATGTATACTTTACAGAAGACTAGAACACTCCCATACCCACCACCCAGCTTAGGGAACAGAACATTAACAAACCTGCCCCCTCCCCCCAAGGTGTCCCCCACCCCAGGCATTCCCCCCTCCCCCACCGAGGTAACTGTTGCCCCAAATGCTGTGGCAATCATGCATGGCTTTCCCCCCAAGTTTTGCCACACAGAGATGCATCCCTAAACAATTTAGGGTTAATATAGTTTGGCTCCAAGCCCTTATATGCCTGGAATTATTTTGTATGTCGTTTACCGTGATTTGGGTTTTTTTTTGGTGCTTTTTTTTTTGGAGCTCCAGCTATGTGCTTACACTTAGTTCAGTCATTGT